CGTTCTCCAGTTAAATGATGGCAAATAAATATCTATCCTAACTTTTACATTTAATATAACATTAGTAAGAATTGTATTTATTCGAATAGAATTGTTGTGGGATGTGTTGTTGTTGTTGTATACAACGAGCTCAAATGTTTTTAGGTTACGTATTAGCAGTTGATAATTAAAAAAAACACAGTCTATTTTAGAAGTTGTAGTTTAGGTATAAGCAGAGCAAATACGTAATGTTTGCGAAATTTTATTTCTTTGACTTTACAGACAAGGCAATTTAATTAATTGAGTAGATTACAATTTGGTTGAGCGTCCGTACGACAGTTTCAGTATTAGGTGTCGGGCGGATCTCGCAGAGCGCCGAGAGCAGATAGCAGAGCGCAGAGAGCAGAGAGCAGAGAGCAGAGCGTAGAGCACAGAGCGTTGAGCGCAGAGTATACACACTTTGTTGTATCCCTAACTGGCAAGGATTTACAGATCAGAGAACATCGTGTTCGCATCGCGTGCGATCCACACTTCTGCTGCCTCCTACTTGTTTACAAAGATTTAATTAATCTTTGTTAACCAATATCTAATAAAATTGATTTGTTTTTACTTTATAATATTCAATGTTTTATGTATTAACGTTATGCTAATATATCTATACCAAGGATTGTACTCGTACATTAGTAGAAGAGCTAGATTAATAAAAATTGGATGCTGATTTTTGGGTTACGGTCCAGTCTAAAAGTGTTTATGTAGTTCCTAGCTGTCGCCCGCGACTCCGTCCGCGCGGGATTAAAATTAGATGTTGGCCGATTCTCAGACCTACTCAATATTCTCACAAAATTTCATGAGAATCTGTCAAGCCATTTCGGAGCAGTATTGGAACGAAAATTGTGACACGAGAATTTTATATATAAGATAAAGAATCTTAGTGTTCGTCGTAGAACTGATAAATTTAATAAAGATCCTCTGTGAAACAAATGCAATTTGAAACGTTCAAAGATAATTTATCTACGAAGACAAAAATATTTCTATATAATTATCGGGGTAAGCTTTGATTTTATTAGCAGAGAATTGTAATCTAGTTCACTACCGGAGCGGGGTGTGGGTGTGGGGTGTGGGGTGTGGGCGTGTGGTGTGGGGTGTGGGGGTGTGGGGTGTGTGGGGGTGGCGGAAGGTAGAATGATGTGCGACATTGTGTGCATAATATGATTGAATAGTTGCCCTTGTTGTAAATTAAGTAAAATTCTAGTTTATCATATTAACATTTATCAAGTATAAATAAGAAGGAAAATGTATATTTCTTTTTAATTTGTAATTGTGTGATAATTAGAGCTGTTGTGTTAATAAACTAGCTGTCGGCCGCGACTTCGACCGCTTAGAATTAAAAGAAAAAAACTTTAGAAGTAGCCTATGTATTCTTCTAGATTTTGGTCTACACGTATGTCAACTTTAATTAAGATCCGTGAATCCTTTCTGGAGATACCTTCAAACAAACATCCATCCATCCATCCATCCATCTAAACTTTCGTATTTATAAAATTAGTAAGATAAAAAGTGTAATGTGCTTTCCTATAGGTTTCTTTTTCCTGAAGTTCTTTGTATAAAATATTTTAATCCCGCTCCCACTCACAATGATGTAGTCCGGGGTTTACTGTTGTTACTTGTTATGCAGGTCACACACCTTGGGTTTTGCATGACGTTTTTGACTTGTCAAAGCGCACTGTTAAGTGTATTGTGAAACCGGGCTATACCGGCAAGGTTAATATCATCATGAAAAACCTAACGTGAGTTGCCGGTATTAACTTTTACACAGTTGGCAAGCACGTGAGAAGGCACGGGAGTGGCGGTGGGCATTTCACAGCTATGTTGTAAGCGCCTACACACTGATGTTTCCTGTCAACGATTTCCCTTCATTATGCTGTAGCTAAAAATAAGTTCCCCTGTAATTAATGAAATGATCGTAAAATTCCTGTATAAATCCTTGTTATTGTTTAATTGTGAACATTTTTGCAATACTCTTGTTAAAGCTACCGATATCTCTGGAAATTAATTAACAATCCTTTTAACAAAGGTTACATTTGTACAAAGTAAAGTAAATAAAATTAATGTTCAAGAAATAAGAAATGAAATAGCCAAACGACCCGACAAATACCCACTTCCATTCTTATTTTGGATTCAGTGTCAATGTATCTGTTATTTAACATTTCAGCTATTCTATTTTAATTTTGTTTTGTCGCGAGGTTGAAAAGTTAATTTGGACTTTCCTCCCTTAATTATACGTCGGTAAAGGTTATGATGACCGAATATATTTATCACAAAAGCTCGCTCGGCAACGGCGGCCGCGTCGCGGAGCCACTCAGGTTTTTTTTTTTTTATATAGTGGCTTGAACATGAAAATATATGTTGGGTCTATAAAACATGTTTGAATTAAGATTTTTTAAATTTTATTATGTTATGTATTAAATTAAAAAAAAAGTAAAGTTTACTGATCACGAGGGGCAATGTAATAAATACTTTTGAAATATTAAAATGTCAAGTTGTCAAAAGAGTTAACTGTTTTGACAAGTAATATTCTGATTTAAATTATTTATGTTTAGAAAATGATAAGAATGTGATCAATTACATATTTAATATAATTTATCTTGTAATGCTATGAAAGGCTTGGAATGTTATGAGGCCGGAAGAGGCTCTCGCCGGCCTGCTGATAGCCTGCTGGGGATGGCGCATCTGGAGCTTGATCTACTCCAGCTACTCTATCGCTGACGTCCTCACCTTCAAGTCATCCAGCGTCACACCCAGGGTCGTGGTCACCGGCACTCTTATTATCGTCTCCCTCTTCTTCCACATAGTACCACCATCGGAGTTCCCACTCTTTAGTCTGATAAACAAGGTGCTGAGCATACCTTCAGAGATGTACACATTGTACTTTGCGCACAGATACGTGAGTCCAGCCCTGAACAGTCGCCGGTTTACAGCTTTACTTTACTTTTTGACAATACTATCTGTAATCGGTACCTTGTATTCTATATATGTAGATCTTGAAAAATTACAATAATGTAAAATTGTTAGTTTTATTTATAGATTGCCTTTGTTTAGGAAGACTTATATTTGTTTAGTAAGGTGACGCTGTCGCGTCTATGTACTAGAACATGAGGAAACTAGAAGTCTTCATTTGCCTTGTTATTGTAAATGTCAATATATTTGGAAGCTGTTCTTTACCTTGTTACTGTTATTTAAGATACTGCTGCTAGTCTCCACACTAAAATAAGCAAACTTTTCTTATTCAAAGTTAAATTTCAAGAATTGTGTGGATTGCAAATGGGGAATTCTTTTTACCAGTAGCAATTTTAACATAGTGTTAAATCACTCAGCACTTGGTAGCTTGACTTTTATGAAAATTAAATTTTCTAAGAATTCACCTGCACTGTCGCTTTATGCAAGGCTTTATATATATATATGTAGCATTTCGTGATTTACACAGAGTTATTCACATTCCACGAATACATTCCTCATAATATCTCCACTTTCACACAGTCTACGTTTTCTTATGTTGTTCCTAAGTTCAAGTACTGATCGTACTACATTATACAATACTTTTGATGACGAAATAAGAGTTTTAGGTGAAAAAAAAACAATTATTTGCATTTAAATTAAGTGCTTTATTTAAAGAAACGTTTTTTCCATACAAGTTATATATTTAACATTTAGTTGTGAACATATATATCGTATTTCCATATATTTGCGGAAGAAATTAATTGCGGAATTAAGTGAGAGAACTTTTGTTCATTATAATTTAGTAGACATATAATTCTTAACATTTTTTTTTGAAATTACATTTGAACAATGATTAAATATTATACTGAATATAATATGTTTAAACAGCAGAAGTGAAAGAGAAATATCTAACTTCAGAAGAAACACATATACTTGTTAATGAATATATATCGCGTTTATATTGTAACACTTAGGTCTAACAAATCTTATTATTATAAGTGTAAGAATAAATTATGTTTCTTTGGTTTTTCCACTGACACAACTATAGCCATGGTAACTAATCTCGTCTTAACGTTCAGAATAACAAAAATAAATAGAAAATAAACATTTAAATAATGAAGAGTAGAAAACTCTAGGTTATAGAAGTATAAGTATAGCCGTAACCGAGGAGAGTTTCGTAACTATAGTTCTGAAATACATGTTGAGGTTTGACTGCAGTTCCAGCAGTTCCAGCAGGTTCAGCAAGGCCAGCGGGGCCATCGGGGGCTAGCGATGCGACAATGAGCTGTAGAGCGTACGAGTACGAGAGGATAACAGTAGCCAACAGTGGATTTGTTACAAATTTGGATGTGAGCTTGCTTTGTGCAAATAATATTTGGTTCGAATACCGATACTACTACTAATACGGATATTTTATTTGTTCAATTATTTTATGACAAATAAAATAAAGGCTACTTTAAAAGTTTAACTCAAGAAGTCGCTGGTAAAAGCTAGTTATATAATAAAGTCAAGTTATATCGTAAAATAACGGCAACGATAATAATATTCTACGAACACTGGATACTGGAAAGCTGTTATAAAAATAACTAAGAAGGAAATTACTAGAAATAAACAATAGGCTTACGAAGAAAGATCATAGAATGTAGGAGTATTATCACGAAATAACTGCAAATAAATGAAATATTGCAAATGGCACATTGCCGTTTCTTCGTTTACTTTCGGCGAATGATGGAAACTATTTCCACTGGGAGAGTCCGCTATTGAAAGTATTTGTATGTTACCATGTCTCTCGCTGTGTTCAATGTTTTGTTTCCTAAGTAATTATTATACATATCATTAAAACAAAAAAAACATCACAAGCAATAATAACCTAATGACTTAATAATGTAACACAATCGATTAACGAAATGCAATTGGAAATAAAGAATAATAAATAATATTAATATAATTATAAAAATAAACAGATATAATAATTTAAGTTTTCCAACGTAATCATATACCTACGTATACATATATAATTAAAACTATGTTATATAAGTTTTACACAATTTAAACTTGTATTAATTTCCATAACATATACTACTAGAGATACTGGTTCTAAGAAGACGCAGCGAACATCTCACGAACGAAGCCGTACTTACGGTAATTCTTTAAATAGACATAAGTAAATAGACATATATTTGCAATAAGTAAATACCTATCACACCTTCTTCACAAATCATGAAGAAAGTGGATAATTATGTTCACATCAATACACGACTAATCCGGTGCCCGTGACATCTAACCACACCAACAAACCTCGAATATCTATTGTTTTTAACTGTTGTTTTATTACAAGAAATCGAAGAACTTGAACGAACATATCCAATGTCAAAATTCTAAATTATCTTTCTTGAAAATAAACTTTTACTCGATGTTATATCAAGTTTAAAAACATCATATTTACGTGTGTGCTTTTAAAATTATCTTATCGCTACTTCAGTATGTGAAATAGGAAAGAAAGCGAACACACAACAAAAAATATTTATTTCATATTATCTTACGATGCGTGATTTTCCATATTAAAATTTAAATGAAAACGGATTATAATTTCCGTTCGTCTCTAATGTCGATTAGATAAGTTAGAACTTTATTTTATATAGTTATATATAGACATATACATTGATTACGATAACATTTTTAATTTAGGTAAAATAGTATTAATACAGGACGTCCGGTTGTTTCCGTTGTGCTAAAAATAGAAAAAAAAACATATATTAATTTTGACCACAATCTGCATTATATTTTTTAATAACTCCACAAGTACACCGTAAAAAACAACACTATGCTGACGTTAAAATAAAAGAAATAGTTTTAGTATAAGTAGTACTCACAGGAGAAGAACACCAAGCGCCTGGTTGTTCCGGATCCAGTCCAGCCCAAGTGATCAACTGCTGGAACAAATCACATGTATTTATATACAGTTTTACACAATTAACATTTATTTACGTATTTAACTTTTAATATAAATTATTGTAGCATATCAACATCCCGATACATATCGATGTTTGTCGTACAATCATTGTCGGTAACCCTTAGCCCTATTTAAAGAAAAGAAAATTATAAGAAAAAAACTCACAGGCCTTTTTGAACATGGTCTCTGCCTGTCCCGTAATATCGGAACGGCGGAGGTCCGTGCGAGGGCGAAGCTGCTTGCGAAGGCGACTGTTATAGCCGGGCTGACCGCGCGACGCCGCTGCGCCCCTACCGCTCTTTTCCGCCAACAATGACGCCTCGTTCTCCAGGTTAAACTTGGTTCTGATATTAAATATATATCATCATTACCAGCCGTGGTATACATTATAGAAATTAGAGAAATATTACCTAACTTGTTATTAAATAACAATAATTAGGTTTATATTATTTTGAGAGGCTTACGTTTTTTCCAGTTGTAGTTTCTCGTCTGTCAAGTTGGGAAGGGACGCGGTCAGTGGGTTAGATGTCTGGACTTGATTGGTATAGGTGTCAAGGCGTCGCTGGGTCTGGTGGGTCACATTCTGCTTGAACTCCATCGGGGGAGTCAACAACAACTCGGGGAAATAGACATGTTCCAGGCCGATATCTCCAGTCTCGCTGTCCTCATTCCTAAGCAACCGACACACAAATATTTTACTTCCAATAATGCTAGCTCTTACGTGACTATCGATATATAGACACCTAAAATGTTCCTTAATTATCTGTAAACATTTTAATTTAATTGAAATTTTTAATGTTTTTGTTAATAAAACATTGTAATTTTTTTTTGTGTAGTTTCAGTGACGCTCAGATCCAACCCTAAACAAATTTATAGTGACGACCGGTTCCGGTCATAACATCTTGTCATTGTTAACTTGGGTAACATAAATTACAACATTTAATTTTAACTTAAAATGCAATATTAATAATATTATAGAAGAGATTTAAATGACCTTCCGCTGGGTCCGCCGACTCGATTTTCAGATGAATCCGTAGATAGGATTTCAAACTCCCTCGCTTCTTCGGCTATCAATTTTTCAAGTCTTTGAGGCAGCGATAGTATGGTGTCCGGCACACGGATCGTTCTTAGGTCTTCAGCGGAGAATGCGCGTTGGGGTCTGTTTGTTACATTGTTGTTGTGATCAAATTTAATACGTTACTTGTCTCGCTTACAATTTCTTTATAATATTTAAATACGAAAGAAAAAATAGTTAACATTAAAATACAAACAGTTCGCCGCTAGAACACAAATTGATTTCAATTATCAATTATATACACTGTAATTCATTATTAATATCTTCCTACATAAGGTTCACGAGGCGTTGGTTCACTTCCCGCGCCATCTATTTCTTTCTTTTACTCTTACTTTCCTTATTTGACTTTTTTATTGTTAATTATTAAAACAATATTTTGTTATAAATAAATAGTAGATTTAGATTATTTAGTGAGAAGTTGGCTGTTATTATTGTATGTACCTGAAGTTTTTATTTACATATACATATAACAAAACTGGAAAAGCTAAGAATAAGTGAAATTCGACCTATAAGAAAAAAGAGCCACATATGAAATGAAATTAATTTGAACTCACCGTTCGGGTGTAGTTGTAGGGTCCGGGTGGGGCAGCACAGTGGCGATATCTGTGCGCGAGTAGCCGGGCAAGGGCGGCGAGTCGTATTCGGGGCTGCAGGCGGCTTCCATGTCTTGTAGTTTCAAGGTATTTACGAAAACTTCATTCCTGTTGTTTCAAAGTGATGAGATAAGTTAGTTGTTTTTTTTTTAATTTTTATAATGTAAATATAAAATAACCTATACATGGAGATAGGTGGTGGAGGTGATGGGAGTGGAGGTGGAGGGCAGGTTACATGTTACCTGGAGAGGTTGGGGCGCGGCAAGCGGTGCGATATCTGGCTGAAGCTGTCACCAACAAAGTTGAGCGGCGACCTGGGCCTTACGGCTGGAGCTGCCACCTAGAAAACCTCTTAATGTGTGTGTACTCATCATAATCCATATAATATTGCATGTAGACATCAAGAGTTATCACTAACTTCAAGGAGATGTTTTAATCGATGTTTAATATATGTTGTTGTTGGGAAAACATAACTAAACGACAGCTTACGACTGTAGTAGTACTGACTTACAGATAGCTGGTCAACTTACGTGTAAGTTACGATTCCGACGCGCCGATTGCGACGTGATTAGCACACAATTTATAACGATGAACAATGTACCCTTGGAGATGAGAATAGCCATAGTAGGAGCCACATTCCTTGTATCCAGCAGTACGTTACCTGTGCCGTATCCACTTGCTCCTATGTACCACAAGAGGTCCGACAAATTCTGCGAATATACTTAATGTTAAATTATAAAATATTTTAAATTTGATAAATTTTGCTGAAGAAATCGTCTGTAAAACTGACCATAGTGGAATAATAATCATTAAGATAAAACAGAAGTCCCGAGAAGTCCAGTAGGCAGGCCGCCAGCGTCACTGTAGTCCATGGACATGACGTGAAGTTTCCTACAACAAATATATATGTGTTACCCTGAAGATGCAATCACTTGATTACTTTATAACACAAAGCAACTTATGCATCAAAAAGGAAAAAACTGTAAAAGTAATATCACAATTGGAACTTACTGAACATTAGCTCGTTTGAGATCAGCCAAAAAATAGCTACAAAAAAGTTAGCCCAAAGGAAGAACAATGTCCTATAATAAGTGACCGGTGCGTCCTGCAACACTACGAATGCCTGGTTGACCATCTCGTCTACGAATTCCCCGATGTTTATCCTATTGCCGCACAGGTCAGGGTCTGCAACACACCTTCAACTTGTACAATCATCTTAGGCCTAGCATGACTTTCCGTGAAACACAACTCGATCGACAAAATTTGTATTAAAATATACGATATATTTCATATTGACATAAACATTCTGTCGATAATGTAACGTGTCGCAAATATTCGAAGTTAAGTGGGTAGGGAATTTAATTCTTTGACTGTGCTCCAGATCTGTGGCTCTGATACAATTAGTGTAACATGTTTACAAACAGAATTACCGTCGGCTCACAAAATACATCAATAAGCTATTGATATTAAGTTATGCGAAAGACGAAATGCTGAACTCTTTCTAGTTATAACGTATTTATAAAAGTTAGAGTCAATCTCTATGAAAATGTCAGCGAAGTGTGCACGTTAAAATATTACATAATATATATTTATAATAGTTGGATACATCGCTTACTCACCGTGAAGGTACATTATTTTTATAAAAACCCCAATCATTGAGTTTTGGAACATGTCTATATAACAATAGGCATTCAAAATAAGAAAGACAGCAAACATCAGCTGTACGATAGCTTCAATCTGGAAATATCAAAACATCTTATTATATAGGTACATATATCATACATTTAGGAATTTATTAAATGTATGTAAAACAAGGTAAACGAAATGGGGAAGTCGTTGCATAGTTTGAGCGTTACATTATATATATATATACCTCGAAATGTAAATTAATTAAAAGTATTGATCGATAATGAAGCATAATTTATAATCAAAGTATTCTATAAACAGAAAGTATATAACAATGTCACAGATATTATAGATAAATAGGAAAAAAGTATTTTTGTAAACGTCCAGGTATATATTAAATTATAATAATAGGTAACAAGGAAAAGCAATAAGTTATCAGCACTAATAAACATCCGCCAATTAACTACCTCTTCTTATTTACCTGATAATTATTTTCTATATGCTGTAAAAATATCGCTCACATTATTTACTTTATGTCGTGTATCAGTACAATAGTTGAAAACATATGTATATACTGCAACACATTATATCCACTACTCTACACTACATAAACTATACATAAATACCTTTACCGTGGGTTTTCATTACAGAAACACTCACACATTAGCACACATCCGTTTTTCTGTCTGCTAAAAAAAGCACACACACACACGCACACTTATATTGTTTTGACTTTGGCAATGTATGGTTTAGCTAATATATAAAATTAATTGTGTGTAGTAGTAGTAGTAGTAATATGTAGGAGTTAGTCAGTTTATCCTCTACTCATTTCAGTGGTTCCACTAAAACAGAGTTTAGATTTGACTTTGACACTGAAATGCATGCCGACTAAGTCACTGTGGTAAAGTGGAATTATACGGCCGGCTAAGTCTTGAACAGCTCACTTAAATATAAATTGAATTATTGGAAAAATAATATCGCGAAACAGATCTAGGACAGTTTATAAAATAAAAGTTTTTCAAACAATAATAAATAACTTCTACTAACCATGTTTTATTAACTATTATTAATATTTAATAGTTATTAGTTCTTAACGAGTAAAGGAAAGAGGAAAGTAAATCTATTCTAATCTTACTAATATTATAATAATACTAAATATAAACAAGTGTCAAATGCTATGTCAATTTAGTTTATAATATTATATCAATAGATGGCGGAACATATGGTTAGATCACGGTATCAATTTATTTTGTATATTGCTATACTTGCTATACTTGCCGATCGAATTTAATTAAAGTTGACTCGCACCAAGATATAACCAGTGTTTCATTGTGACTACTCGATACATCTCCAGTGACAGTTAGACTTTTTGAGACTGCTTTACAAGAAGAAGGATTTGATTGTTTGTTTGTTTTATTGTTTCCATTGAATAAACCCCGACACTACTGAATCGATTTGAATAATTCTTAAAACAGTCGTGTGTAACAGCTAGCATAAATTACAATGATAGAAATAGTAATCTTAAATGAAAGCTATGTACCTATAAAATTATGCCAGTATAGTTGGACTGTAGCGCTCAAAATCATCGCTGGCATACATCCGGCATAACGTAAACAAAAACCGGGGCTAATGAGCCCAAACAGTCCATGCCAGACCAGCAGCACTATACTGGCATGTTTTAAACCATTCTTTAAATCACAAAATTGTAAAATCAGTTTCTAGGCTTTATTATCTGTTGTCATAAATCGCCTTGTCGTTGACGGCTGTCACAGTGAGCGTGGTGTGTATTGCGTGTGCAGTTGTAGGTCGCAGCGATTTGTTTAGCGCGAAAAGCAAAACTAAATTAATAATGAGTGTTTTATTGAATGAAATAATGTATGGATTACTACAGGTGCAAGTACAATCAAGCCGAAAGAGGTAAATATCAAGTTGAGGTTTTAATAGACAGAGCGCCCAGTTACAAACAAGCAAGCGGCTAACAAAGGTTCAGAGTGTGTGCTTGCGGTAATTTGAAGTAATCGAAAGTGTATGTACGTAGACAGATTAGGCAAAAGTATTGAGCTAGATATCACGACTGATAAAATTTCGTAACGTAAGATGGGAGAGTGTGACAGTTTGGTGGCACTACCGATTAGATTGGTATCCGATCCGAATCATGATGTGCACACTATCGCGATGACTTGACGTCACAGCACTCATTCATGTGTGAATTCACTTAACTATAGAAGTATTTCAAATGCTTAATTATAGATAACCATAAATTTTCATTAGGTGCATAAAAATGAAGAAGAATTTTCAAACTATCTTTGGCTATTTAAATTTTGTGCATTTCCTTATAGCACCAACCTGCTGGTGTTTTAGAAACTAAATTATTGAAAACTAGAAATGAAAAAAATGCCTGTAACATTCGCCTTGCCCACTGTTTAAAACACAAGTTCATAATGAAATAATGTATTACTTTGTTGTGAATAGTTAAACTTACAAAAAGATTTAAGATGTGTAAGTATCTCAATACAATATTATATATTCCTTGCTATCTAGCACTGGTATCAAAATTACATGTAACTGATAGACATTCAGTTTTAGCTGAACTTTTAAATTGTACAGTTCTAATGTTAATTTAAAACTAAACATGTACAGCGAGCTTAGGTTAACAGTGCCCAATAGATACTTGAGCTTGCACTTTTCTTTATTAAGATATTGATGTTTTATTTATTTTAATAAAACAACATAAACCTGCTTTAACAACTATTTTTTTTTTACTTTAAAACATTATTTAGTAAAGTTGTCATGGTTATTGTAGCCTTTTATTTAATCTTAAATGATGTATTCGCTTAGCTAAAGAACAATTTAAATGTTGAAAACATTACTAGTTGTAGGTGTAAGTAATTAAATAAATTATAGCGCAGCAAATAGTTCAAATATCATGTATATATTATGTTTAGTCATTAATTTATAATCAATAATTGACGGAGATGGGTAAAAATGTAGAGTAGCCAAATAAAAAAAAATAGATTAGTTATTAATATTTCAATTAAATAATGTTAAATCACAATCGCAAAGCATGCACATAGCAATGTATATAATAACAAAACATTGAATGTGAAGTGTTCATAGTGAAGATAATGAGTTGTACTCAAATAATGGACTTGTCTGATCAGATTTTGTTCCTAATTATTGAATCAGTGGAAGACTTTCATTTCTAAATATAAAAAAACAACACTGCTCACAAAGTATAAATAGAGCTATGTATTAACTGCCATATAAGATTAATGACTACTTAAGTAAATTCAGAATTAGATTTATCTCACTAAATCCTCACTAAGGGACTCCTAGACTTGTAGACTAGCAGTAGTTAGTTTTAATTGACATTTCAATGGAAGAGTACAATATGTTAGTGAAAACAAGAATAAAACAAAAATGCCTTATGTCAAATGAGCCATATATATATATTTAATTACCTTAAACCCAATCATGATGCTAACAGAAATCTGAACAGACTTAAATGTGTGTTCATATAATTGTATTTATCAAGTATAATTTGTAGATATTTACTTTTGTGATGCACTAGTCGCCGCCCGCGGCACCGTCCGCGCGGAATTAAAAAAACTTATTAACTTATTCTATGTGTTCTTTCAGACTATGTTCTACATCTGTGCCAAATTTCATCAAGATCCATTGAGCCATTCCGGAGATACCTTCAAACAAACAAAGATCCATCCAATGAAACATTTGCATTTATAATATTAGTAAGATTTAATTTGTTAGATCATTGCTGATGTTATATGACTTCTCACTTGTAATTACTTTCATATTAAAAAGGTACACTTCTTATAACATTTCTTTTGCTTCTTATTCAATAAATTCAAAGAAATGCAATGAATGAAATTACAAATTTAATAAATATGCTGAGTGACTTTGTATTTGTTCATGTTATTTGTATTCATAACTATAAGCAGAGCATATAATGCTTATGCATATGCTTTATATTAAACTATATTAATACACAATTTGATTTTACTATTGTTTTTTGAAATTGCAAGTTAATGTGCACTTGTCATTAAGATACCAATTAGAAGCAAATAAAAATGTTTAATTGGTGATAAAAAAATCTTATTTATTACTAATATTATAAAGGCGAATGTTTGAATGGATGGATGTTTGTTTGTAGTTATGTCGATAATGGATATCGATGAAATATGGCATTCATATAGAAGATATTTTGGAAGAACAGGTAGGCTACTAATTATCTTTTTGTAATTCTGCGCGGACGGAGTCTCAGGCGACCGCTAGTTTTTTTTTAAATAAAATAGACTTATAATGGTAGTTGGATGTTATTTGTAGATGCTTATGTATTTTTTCTTGATATCGCATTCTTTGCTAACGTTATTTATTAAAACAAAGTAAATAGAAACACGTATCGATGACATTTCTTCAAAATATCTAATTAACGTGTGCTTTTATAATCGTTTATTTCAAACATTTAAGAGAATTGATCCGCGACCGAAGCATGTATTGAAAAGAAAGATTTTCAAATGTCGTTTCACATCATAATTAATAGACGAGCCCTTAGATGACGCGTGACCTACATTCTATAGCATTTATGTAAATCGCGTAAAATCTTCAATAATTTCTAACGCTTAATCGGAAATTATAAATGTGTTTGTGAAAGCAACAACTTCAATACCTATAAAGATATTTTAAAAAAGGTTTTACACTTATAATGGGGATGGTAACATTCGGCCATATTTTTATATTTTACATTAATAAAAATGTTGAATATTGTCGTTGCTAAATAACATTTGAACCTGAAATATGTAAAATTGTATTGATTTAAAAGAAATGATCACACATCAGATATATATATATTAAATTATAAATAGCACTTACCGTCGTCAGAACGCCTAACACGGAAGTCCTACTTGGTGGCATGTTTTCTGTTGTTAGTTGTAGTTGGTGTGCGAGGGTATACGGCGTCGGTGCTGGCCGACGGTGACGCGGCGGCTGCTTTACTGCTTCTCAGCCATTTCAGCAACACTGGCCTGTAACAATACGAATTATCTATACTTTCTCAGGCGATAACAACATTATTCTACGATTGCGTACGCTACGAGATAACTTATTTATCTCAAAAGAAATTTAACATCACAACGCACTGACAAAATTATCACATTTTATAAAAATACCAATAAATTCGGGAAAATTTAATAATTTTTAAAATAATATGAAGTAAAAACATATATAAATACCTGTAAGGTGTATGAGATCGCAGGGTACAAGTTGAAGTGCGTGGGCGAGATGTCGCGTCGAGCAGCAGCACACATCCAGCTTGCAGGGCGGTCGGACTTGGACTGGCTAGTGGCTACAGAGACTGGAGTGGAGCCTGTTGCTATTCGCAGCCAGCCGATAGGGGGAGGAGTCGGGGAAGCTTCGACATATTTTACAGAGAAGCGCTATTTACTTATATTAACATTTTTGACAGATTTTGATGATTTTCTTATGAATGTTGAGAAAATCGCCAGCAAACATTAGATATACTGTCGGATGACATTGAAGGTGTTTCATTTGGTTGTAATAACTATTTACATATATTTTATAGTATTGAATAATAAAATTGGAAACTATTGATATTTTTCAACCCTTAATTAACGTAATTAATCTTTCCATGAAATGATTTAACTTGACAATAAGGAAAAAACTTCAGTTTGAAACATATTGCTAAATAAAGCTTGTATAATTTAACCGACGGACATTTATCTACAAACTAGTCCTGGCTTCGGCGACGTGTTCTGCTTGAAAGATACATTTTTAAGAAGACCTAAAATAGCTTACTTATTTGTATTGCATCGTGTTAGGTTTCAAGTTATTCTGCTGAAGGAATAACATTTCAATGTACAAACTTTCATCCCCCACTTTTGACTTTTAGGAAATGATTTCTTCAGAATCTTTTCACATTGCTCGACTACGTTGTGACAAAAATGTCTTTACAAAATGTCTCCTCTCTCGGTGCTATTTGTACGGAGCTGTGTGTACGTGTTGCTGTGAAAAATAAAAAATACATTTAGGTAATTAATTAAACCCGTGTATTATTAACCTTTTGACCGCCGGTGCTTGATGTTATGGATGTCAACGGGTTTATAAAAGAGGTTTAATATGTATCACCAATATTGTTATTTATTTGCCAAGATGATATTTCGGAAGCCTTCGCATAATCATATTTCAATAATCATGATTTCTATGTTTAATATCAGTGTGCGATAAAAGGGTTGACTTTTAAAGCTTAAATGTAGTTGAAACTCTACCTAACTTTTGTTATGGTTAAGTGTTTAGTGCTTGAATATCGCAATATACTTTCAGAGTGCTCGGTTGAGTAGTTACAAACAAAATTTCAAATAGGCCTATTGGTGTAGATTGCGCGTGGATATATCAGTCAGATATTGATGAGAAAAACTTGTAGAATTTCAACTTTTACATCCATAGTCTAGCATGAGGCGATGGTCATTTTTACATATAACATTAGTTAAACTATGGTAAATAGGTAATCGCTACTTGATACAAGTATTCAATATTAACAAATATAACATTATTATTAATTTATTCATTTATATTTGCGTTATTTAATTTTGATAATATTTAAAAGTTGGCTAAATATTTTATTTTTATTGTAATATTAAAAACTATAAAATAACAAAATTTGGTATAATATAAAAATTAAAAATCGCAAAAAGAGATTACTTTTGATAACATGAGCACACGAAACCGATGTGTATATGTGCATAGGCCTAGATTTAAGCTTGTAAAAGAAGCGAGTGAGATGTGCCAATGTGGTCTCTGCTCACCCCTCTAGGTTACGGGTTTGAAATATGTAGTTGTTGATATGTTTTTATATATATTAATTGAATATCTTATATGAAAACTTCCTAGAGATGCCATAAAATAATTTTATAAGTTTTTATAGAGTTGTAATATTTATTAGATTATTAACTTATATGTAATGAGTAAAATGTAAAAATTAAGTTTGCCACGCAAAGCATAGATTAAGCAAAATTGTTAGGATTCCCTATGTATATTATGATTTTATATTTTAATAGGCTACAAACTTTCCCTCGCGTTCTAAGAATGTCCTAGAGAAGTTTTGTATCACAATGTAGTGCCGTGCTGCAGGAACGTGTAACATACAAACTTTGACTTGTATTTATATCTTAAAATAAAATAAAAAACTAGTGAAAATGGATATTCATCGTAATTTGTGAATATTTTACGTGTTTCGCAGATATCAATATTTATTTATTTACGAAAATTGAATAGAATAAAATAGCATGTAACTTTTTACCGGAGTGTACCGGAGGTGGGCCGGGAGGAGGTGATATGTTGTGCGCGTATTCTTGTACTTCATGTTATTTCAATCTCATTGTAACCTTTTTTCAATCTAAACAGCTGAACCGTTTGTTACTTGAGAGCTGTTCAATATTTTTGTATTCTCACCTGTAGTGTCATGCCGCTCGTCAATAGGTATTTTTTATACAAATATTTGTTTCTTAATAAGTTGCTTATAAATGAATAGACACAAAAAAAAAGAAAATGGGTTAGAGAGATGAGGTTCCCGGCTACTGGAATCACTGTAAAACGTAGAGCTATCAAGTATTTTTGCCGCACTGTTTTAAGTGTTTTAAGTGAGATCGTCTAATATGACTCCGAGTCATTTCGTGCAACAAGTGTTACTGTTGCGATTCTACTTGTCTGTTTCAAATAAAAACGTGTTCAATATTATTATTTTATCTTACTTATATTATAAATGCGATTCTTTTACATGGATGAATGCTTGTTTGAAGGTATCTCTGGAACAGCTCAACGGATCTCTATAAAATTCTGCGTAGTTCTAGAACATAGCCTGGACGGACACACAGGATACTAATTAAGTTTTTTTAACAGTTATTGTTTATTCGGTGCGTCGGAATGCTGAGAGGGACTGATTCCAATCTCTGTAACCACGAGTGCTTTGCTTCGGCTAATAAGAGATAATGAAGGGTGAAGATATAATTTCGTATATTTATTTCGTGAGCGGTAAATCACGATTAGACGGGTTCTAAGAACTATTTCCTTCAATAACGTCCACAGCGTCTTAGTTTGAAATGCTACTCGAAATGCTTTGAGCTTCATTCGGGCGCATTTATACAGCTTATCTATTGCGGGTTGAATCTCTGTTATATAATATTCGATGCTCTATATCTATCTATACATAGATTTATAAACTGGCAGTCAGATTTCCACGAGTGCAGCTTTATTAATATTCAATACCACTTTTTAATAGTAAGAGTGCGTTCAGATAGCAGTACTGCATTATCTGCTGTACTGCCCCGGTGCTACCTTCGTGTGAATTATATCATTGTCTTGAATATGTCAGAATTAGTAACAATTATCGGACCAGTGTGTATGTACGAGTACTAAACGGCGTAGATCAGATACATATAAATATCTGTACCCCGCTACAGCTAACAGTTTGTACATCGGCAGCGTTACAACATGACTTCTCTGGTTAGTTCTTTTTCTAATTAAATATTGCTCCAATTTGATTATTTGTTTGTGCCGATTTACAGATTGTCGCAACTCAACAGTGTACGGTGCTTTATGACTATAACCAAGGGTGACATATTTGTCACACTTTTCTCATGAGAATCTCATGGATCTTGGGGATATTATTTAATATCCCATATACGATTAATTAAAATTAAAGCGATATGTTAATTGTAAAGTTGTGTGAATACACACATCAATTAATTTGTCTCGCATTGAATTCATATTAGAAGAGCTAAAAATAAACAGGGTCAATCAAGTAGCTATTGTTTTCCAGCAACCGCGGCGCGCTCTCTCCCTACTTTTATATCTCATTATCATAAGATATACTAGATACACTATTAATTTATTTACCTAATAAAAAGTATGCAGCTAGAATATGTTGTGCAGGTTTACTGGGCCGTGGTTACTGCCGTCGTATGCAGCTCCTCTGTAACATTGTGCGAGGTCGCGGAGTCACATCCGCCATCACCACACGCCAAAGATATGTAAGTCAAAGTTACCCTTGGTTTTCAATCGCTTTCTCAATTTTCTCTTTAAAAAATATAAATCAAAGTATGTTTAAAACTATTGAAAATCTACGGCAAGCTACACAAAGACTCGCCTCCGATTTTTGCCGGTCTGACGACAAAGTGTATACTGACAGGCGACTGTCCATGTCGATATACGCTATTAATTTAATTTGTTGAGTTCCTTTCATCCTTTCCCTATGTCAACCCTAAAACCTTTCCCAACAGTATATGTCGCTACGGTTACAATGCTTTCACAAAAGCTACTTTGTAAAACAAGTTGTCTTTTGTCAAAATTATTTTACAAACAACAACTTAACCTGCTTTATTAATTAAGTAAATCCTATAAATCATTGAAGTGAAGAGGATCCTTGATTAGACCATTATCATCAACATTATAGCAACAATACATTATTAAATTACAAAAGTTTTCTAAATCAGTGTAGAACAGTTACCAGCTACCACAGAGGTAGTGTTGTTGACGACAGCAACAACAAGAAATACCACGACAAAAGAATACAGGCGAGTAGTGCAAGCAATTTCGCGTCTGATGAATGTGCTAGAGTACTTTTAGTTCTCTTTCCGTTCCCACCCTTTTCTTACAAGGGAAGGAAAGCGAGTTTGACGGAGAAGGGGGGGGGGACGCATAATAAGAGACAATATTAGTTTATTATATAGATATTATTGTGATTAACAATTATAGGCAAAATAACTGAGTTGCTTGCTGCTATGGATAGCGATCGCTTCGTTGTTACAACGAGTTAAGGTGGTTGTTTGCTCGTTTGTTACCATATATAATAATATAATAAAAGAGGTAAAACACAAGAAAGGTTACTGAAGTCGCAGACGGACAGACTATAAAATCAATACTGAAAGGTCTCTCTATGCTTTGATATCTTTAAACAAACAATGGGCATTGTGATTGGTCAGAAAATTGGTATTTTATTATTTACAAGTTGCTATTTCGTAAGTATTCGTCTCGTATTTTTCTTCGCTAGAAATTATTGTAGCTTTATTACACTATAATAAATTATATTGAATTGTACTGAAATTAAATTGGACAAAATATATTTGGAAATAGCAAACCCCTTGACGATAGTTTACGGTGAGTTTCCACTGCAGAATACATGTATGAAAACATTGTCATAATTTTCGTTGTCTGTATAGAAAACATAAGTGTTGCTGAACTTACAGTTAAGTACATGTACTTGTTACAGTGTAAACTTATATAAAAATATTCAAATGTAGTTTAACACAAAGTTTTTAAAGTTTGTAATTTAGTGATGATTTTGCAATTTGTGTGAACAGGTACGTGGTTCGCGCTACACTCTATCAAGTGGGTATCATCACGAACAAAACCGATGGCAAAACGGACAGACAACAGTAAGATATTTTTATCATACTAGCTATCTAATAATATCAATATCCTTGTTTTGTTAAAGAGGATGTGAGGGTAACAATACCAGTATATAAATCTTTTAAAATTCGTTTGAATTCAATGTTCTGCTAAACGTTGAAACTGATAAAATACCGGATTGTACCATTGTGCAGGTTATGTTACGTTATTATTTATTCAGGAAGGTTTGCTGAGCCGGTTTTGCGGCCCCCCCCTCTTTTTTTCTGTTGGAGGAAATCTTCCAAAGATAGAATATCTAGGAGGCACCGCAGGACTTGGCATATTTAATATATCCAAAAATATATTTTGTGATAAATACTTACTCCACTGGTGTACGTACGATAAATCGGGTCTTGGTTTCCGACACACGAGTAATACATACAATTATTTTCAAACATTTATAAATGAAATGAAGTAAAGAAATCTCCTAGAATAAATGTAATGTCGTCTTTTTGCTACGTCTAGCGCCATCTACTGGTTACACGGAGCACTATTTTTAAGTTTTAAGAAAAAAAAATCATGGTATTTATTTCTTAAATTAAATAGAAAATCATGTCATATTATAATTTTTAAATGTTACTTTTAGTTGATTTGATGTTTTTGGTATTAATTTCGCTCCACAGATGGCGCTAAAGTTACTTATTTTTATGAGGGGATGAAAAGCGCCCCGGGGATACTTTTGACGGATTTTAATTAACATTTTAATTAATTAAGTTAATGCTATGTGGTTTGTAAAAGATATTGTTTAGTTGTGTTCTTTCTATTGATATAATAAAAATAGTTAGTGTTCGAAATTTTATAAAACAATTTCAATAAAAAAATTTAAAAGCAAATTTTGTTAAAAGTTAAAAATTTTAAAGGTTTGTTTTACTGTTTGTGCAGAGGCCATCAGGAAGCGATCACATTTTACCACCGCAACGGTTCCGGTATTGATTTGAGTGGTATAGGCAATCCCCTTGTAACTAATGTGACGGCTCAAAGTATTGTCGGCTTGTCACCAGTGGATAATATCAACGAGACGCGCGTGTTACCATGGAACGCTCTAGAAAAAATGGCTTCTACCCAGAGTACAAACACTTCTGGTATGTTTAATGCAAAATATTCTTTTTAAATAAATTGCTATTATTTTTTGTCAGAAATCAAGTTTTACAATAAAATAGTGTCACGACACTAAAAAAATTATTAAAAATAATTCCTATTTCTCTCACAAAGTTTGGTCGCTTGGCAAATAATAGAAGCAGCAATAGTACGACTACCGATATTTGTATAATTACAATTATTAACAAAAATTAGACTCGTTGCTAATTTGAGACAATTACTAAAGCTGTCTAATAATCTCTATTATCTGTTGTAAAACGTCGATGTATTCGGATGATGCAATTACTCGTAACGTTTTACTTTACCGCTATAGATAATTACACAAGTCAACACTTTCATTAGGTGATAATATATATTTCACGTTGTAGTTCTATCGTTTTGTGTAATCTCATCGAATCTTGTATGTATACGAACAAGTTAACTGTAAAAACATCAAATTCACACATCTTAGATCTCAGATTATATTTAAACATCTCCGAAAAGGAAGGAATTGTGAATTTTAGTTTAATTTTTTTTAAATTAATAATCGCATGAAAACAGACAAAGAAAGAATTTTTAATAAGGTAACTATTTTATACAGATAGAGAGGATCCTTGGAACGCTCAACAGGTGAGGTCAAGACGTGAAGTAAGGGAGGTTCCCGCCACTGTGGTGGAGGGGGCGGCAGTGGTGCCCCCTGCGAGCGACATACGATCCCTCGCCCTACCCCCTCTCATTGCCTTTAACAATAATCTATCCCATATCCCAGTGCCGATACCAAACACCTCTATAGTGCGTTACGCTAAAATAAATACTTTGGTAAAAACAAATTGAATGTTTTGTATTATAACATTAAAAAGTTGTAAAATAGCGACGCGACAGATAATTTAGCAAATGGAATAAATGATGTAGAAATAACATTGGATTTTATTTTGTTTTTGCTCATTTTAAATATTAACATTTTTATTAATTTCATATTATTCTTTCGTCTACATGTTAAAGTTATTCTGAAAGAAATAATTGAATACATCTTCACTGACTTACCGAGAAGTTTTATTTGATGTTTGTAAGAACGTTCGTATCTGTCTGTTAAGTTCATTTCGATAAGGTATCATGTTAAGTTTCTTAACAACGTATCTTTCGCAATATAAAATAATGTATGTGTGTGTGTGTGTGTGAGATGCAAATCATTACCTGCGAATCCTCTTTGTTAATATTAATGGAAACTCTACATCGAGAATATGAATTGCTTTGTAGAAAACGATTACAAACGGAAACGATTAGCTGCAGCTAATTGCTATGTTATTACAATGTATGTTGAAACACTTTGAAAACACTGAATAACTTTTAGATAATTATGTCATGAGATGTATCAGTTTTATAGGAAATTAACAAAATAAATATACTTTTTGTGTTCTAATATTAACAGATTTTTGTTAATTCTCTAATATTTCTTGAACCATTCCAACTAAGTTCAAGGCTAGTGCCACCGTATCCTAGGTTTAAGACAATAGTGGAACGGCGTGATTAGAGTTATTTATTAGAGTTAGTTATTAGATTTGTCATAGACTTCCTCCCTCCTCTTTAACTGTAGAAAAGTATTTACTTTGAGTGATGTAGCATTAGGTAGGTAGTAAGTAATCTATTGAGCATTAGTCAAATAACAAGGATCCCATAGGGCATTGACTTTTGAAGATATGAAATGTAATTAAAAGTCGTGAGAATCCTTTTTGTGTTTGAATAAAACAAACACAATAACATTATTAGTCAAACATTGCGTGTTGCAGTTATTATTTTTTTTTATGTCATGAGGTGGCAAACGAGCGAGCAGCCACCTGAAATCACTGAAGTATCGAAGTGACCGTTGCCCATAGACATACGCAAT